GGGGGGGGGGGGGGGGGTAGGCAAGGGGAAACCGGAGCAAAACTGGCAGATGAGCCTGGAGGACGATCCCAAGATGTTCGAGGCAGAGGACGGATCTACGGACACCGAGTGACTTTCCTTCGGAGTCCCAGAAACAACGTGGATGGATGCATTGAGATAAGAGATGGAGCGGGGTGTGCCGTGTCATTCGGGGATACTGCAGGGAACTACGAGGTTCATGATCACCTGGCACAAGGATGAAGAGGAGGCTAGCCGGCAACGAGCGCTCAAATGAAACAACAAACTCAGCACCAGCACGGGCAGAGCAATAGCCAATGTGGCGGGAGGCGTGCCGCAGACAGCAGACGGACAAGTCGGCGAGGGAAGACAGAAAACGAAAAGAGGCGCTCTGAGTGGTGTGAAATGCTGTGCCGGATTGAACCTCTTGATTGACTAATCCCCTCCCCCCGTCACTGCACCATTCCACCAACCCCCCAACGAGCCATCAAGTGTCTTTGCTGTCTCGGGTAGCCGCTGTGTTGTCTTGTGTTGTTTTGTCTGTTTGTCGCTACGGTAGTGGTTCTGGCGTGTGTCTTTCTCTGTGTTTTTCTCTGTTTCTCCCTCTGCGTTCTGCGTTCTTCATTTTCTTTTTCTCTTTCATTGTTTTTTTCTAGTCGATGGTTACCTCGCGTAGCGTGTGGAGGCAAGAGGGGGGTCCTAGGCTATCTGCCGTTGATTTATATTGGCTTGCTGACCCTTCGGGTCCAAATTACTTTCGTGTAACTTTTTTGGGTAAGTGAGCCTGTGACCACGGGAATCGACCGCGTCAAGTGTTTGACTACAGTAGTGCGTACAGAAGGAGGTACTAGTTAGGAGAACGGAACGGTTTATAATGTCAAGACAACAACAACCCACACACCAGGTTTTATTGCAGCAATCTCGCCGCACATTTTCATGACGATTCCTCTCACTGCTGTGTAGTAAGATCAAATCAGCTTGCCTCACATCCCGCGTGTATACACTAATCTGGCGAGGCTCCAACGCCCGCAGCAGATGCGATATACTGCAGCACGATGTTCCCAAGGCGAGTTACGTCAAGAGGTTGGCCAACGGCAAGATCATCATCAAGGTGGGTGTTTGTCGCTCTTGACGCGTATATGCACTGTAGATCCGCGATCGATCGTGATGTGCAGCTATTCAACGGGTCCTACGATAACGCCGTAAGTGAGAAAGCCTGTTCGTCGTGTCTCCCTGCCGTCTATCTCGCAGCATCGGAAGTCATTAGTCCTTTCCCTTTGGCTATGCAGCGAATCTACGTAGTTGTTATCTGGAGCCAGGTTCGCCTCTGCTTTGAGTTGTTGTTGGTGTAGCATACCAATTTCGTACTGATGCTACAGCAGTAGCTCGATGCGCGCACCATAAGTTGTGGCAAATACATATGTCACCCATCTCTCGTGCCTCTTCGCCTCAGGAGAACACAGATGAGAGTATTGGCGAGCACTTGCAGTACAAGAACGACTATATTCTACTGCATGGGTTTGATACTGTATAGTGGGGAGTTGTCAAGTCTGTAACCGTTCAGGTGAAAGCCAGCTTGGGCGTCTGTGTGTACATAATGAATCACTCTGTGTGCTTGCCTACCTACCTGACCTCGCATCATAAGGCAGCTACTTTGGAGCTACAGCTGAGAGGATAGAGGCACAGCGATTGCGGTTGCAGCTGCTGTTGTCTCAACACGGAAAGGTTTGAGGGAGTTTGCTCCGTGTACCATTGCTTCGATCTCTCCTCCCGTTGCATCACGAGTAGACCGTCACGTCCAAGTACCGAAGCGTGGACGTCGGTCACATCCACTTCGGAAAGCTCAAGCGTGACCTCATCTGCATCGTGTGTGACTGCCCACCATTGATAGGGGGAAGCAGCTCAAGTAAGAAAAGGACCCTTTTGCTGACCTGCATCTCGCTTTCCACGTCAAGACAAACCCTTGACGAGAACTTGATTTCGTTCTGCTATCACGCACGGAAAACGGAACGCGACAACGGATCAATGATGAGCCGAGAGAGATGATCTTTGCCCCCCTCTTCTTCCGCAATTCCAACATTCATGGTCCAACGTCAAGCACAGGCTACTCTTGGCGACGCACGAACAGCCCCGTTGGCACCCTTACCTCCATCACAGGCCGTGAAGGGTGATATGGCGGGTCGACAGACGCCAGCCACACCACCGGTAAATGCGTGTTTGTTGCGTCGCTTAAATTCACATTGTATTCCACGAGGGTTCAGTCCTCCCGCATTCTGAAGGACGACTATGATTAAGACCGAACGTTTCGTTGACTGGGTGACGGGCGTGGCCTTCGTTGAATTGATCTAGAAAAACATGGTGTCCTTCTGCCGACACGGCAATCCATTAGAGACAGCACAAACATCTGTGCCAAAGAGTGGAAATAATTAGGCCGCACAACTCCGACATGTTTGTCAAAACAACACAAACCTCGCGAGAACGGTATTTGAATCCGTTGTTGACGTCTTCCCGCTGTGCGTGTACTCTATTCCATCGGCACAAGGATGGGACGCCTACCCCCGATCCATTCGTAGACCCCGCAATGGTGGAAGATTTCGGGGGAGGGAATCAGAAAACACCAGCAAGTTTGTACACCGAGGCTTCAAAATTCCCAAGGAGCTCACGCCAATGCCTAGTGTCGAAAGCCTGGGAGCCTTTCCGGGCGACATTGGTAGCACAGTTGCAATGGGCAGCATCAACGCCAATTTCAATGGTGTGTCTGAGTGTGAGGTTGATCCCTCTCGGGAACGCAGCGCCAGCGGCGTGGAGGTAAGAAATAGTAGAACCAGACTCAGAGATCGCGGGGGCAGTAGGCGAGGGGTCGAACGAGATCCCGGCTGGTTTATCAGTAGTTCGAGCATGAGGGTTTGGAATGGCAACGAGCGAAGATTGGGCGGCGGGAGAGAGGGCGTCAAGATGCCGAGACCAACGACTATAAATGCAACTCTGGGACAGGAGCATACTTTGCATGCATACTCCACTGGCGTGGGAAGAGGTGCGCAACTTCTTTGTTCGGCTGAGAGGGGGGTGGGGGAGGGGCAGAGTGTGCCACCGGATGAGTTATTCAAGCTACAGCGGCATGCCTCGTTGAAATGCGTGTATTGATGGGCCTAAAAACATTCTTGCGCTAGCTATGACTCGTGCGGACGAATATATCTTGGTGGCTCAATTAATCAAACTATTTTCACGAGGGATCGAGGCAGCAATGAACACTCACCAGAGAATGCGCTACCCCCGCCTGTCTACCCCCCGCCGTACCGCCCTTGTGTCAAATTTGTGTCATGTGTTTACCTCAATCGTGGCGGTGGATGCACTCGTTGGATTCCAGGGTCAGGGGTCACAGCTTTGGCCTAGTCAGCGATGGGGTGACAAGAGCTTCACCAACCGCTAAAAGGCCAATCCTCGGATCGTTGCCCGCTTTGGGAACCGTTGCGTGGGTGGTACTGTTGCGTGTTAAACCTGCCGCGGGCAGCAGTTGAGGCAGGCAGATGTGTCCCACACGCCGGTAGACTTATGCGAAAATGAGAACGTGGCCGCGATGAAACCAGAAATCACTGCTGCTGTCGCGTCTCACCTTGACTCATGAAATCATATGAACAGTGCCGGAACGAACGCAGCAAGTTGAACTAGGAAGAAATGACAGAGGAAGTATCTCTTGTTTTCTTAGCACGGAATCCCAGGTTGCCTTACACCTCATCCGGGATTGCCGTGCCGTCATCAAACGTACAACTACATACCGCGAGACGGATACCTGACGTTGGCGTCTAAGAACCATTCAGCCGCCCCTAGAACCAACCCCCGGCACTAGACAATGAACACTGGCTTGACTGAGTTCAAGACAAGACTCTCCTAGTTTTTCTCCTGGGTGATTCACCCGCCCACAGATACATACCCTTGCCTGTCTAGTCCGCCATGCGACAGCTAACACATCACTCTCAGATTTTTAGCAAGGCCTTATGGGTAAGCCACCACGACCAAGCGAAAACGTGTTGTTTCGCGCGCCGGTCCCGAAGGTAGGAGGACCAGTGCGTGCTCTGCCGGGACTTCAGGAGTCATGGATAGCTATGGTAGACCCATGCTTCAGCGGCCGGCCTCCTCCTGAAAAAACATAACAATAGCGACAAGAGACACCGCCGGTTGTGCATATGGTTCGGCTTCATGCCCAATAGCGGCTTCCAACCGATGGTCGAAGACAAACAAGGCCGTGCTTTGCACTCACGTGTCTATCCCTACCAGGACTACGATTGTCATATGTGCCAACCAGGGCTTCATTTGTTGGGGAGCCGTCGAATCTTCCTAGCCTTGCCGCACATGACTGCTGCACACCAACAAATATCTGCAAGAGGGAACTCTTCACTGCTGTTGTGGTCGTGATAGAGGGTAGCTCGGAGCCGATACGAGGCGGCGCTGCCTAAGGTGTGCGGGCTTATGGCCATATTGCAGGGTCGCAAATTTTGCCGGTTTGTCTGTGCGAAACAGCACACTAGAGAAGCAGGCAGCAAGGCTGAACAACACTAAATTCGTGCCATGCAGAAACAGAGCAAAATGTGTTGGTGTTGGTGTTGGCGTTGATCAAAACACGGGTATTGGGTATCGGAACGAATCACGGGCCACGCGTTCTAATCAAGCGTGCGTACGTAATGTCGACAGGCCACGACCAGTGTATCGGTGCCCAGAGTCTTAGGTACTCATACCACCTCCCCAACTATACCCAACAAGTGGGACTCGTACCTGTAAATCTCCCCAGAGATTCCCAAGATCACCGTCTCCCTTCACAGGAAGCCCACAATCGAGCGAAACACCTCCTCCGGCTCCAGCCCAACCACAGAGTTCACAATGCTCGCCAAACCTCCCGCCCCACCATCGACTCCCACTTCGCCCGCACCGTTCATCGGAGAGCGTACCCGCCCACCAGCGCTCTCCCCATTCTCCCTCCTTGCCCCCTTGCACTTTCCACCATCCCTGTCACCAGCATCGTTGGAACCTTCATGTGCATCACCAGTTTCGTCGGTGGTAGCTCTCGTTGTCCTAGCGAAAGAGCGCAGCATCACGAGCCAGCAACGGCGACGCCGCGCTTGGTCGGCCGGAGCCCTAGCCAGCAACAACCGCACCCGCTCGATCTCGGCTTCGGAACATGTTGTTCTATCATTCTCATTGTCGTGCTCATCGAGCAAATCTGCGGGAGTCTTGCCATCGTTATTCAGGGCTGTTTCGTCCGCCCCCCATCGCAGCAAGAGATCCACGGGCGCCTCCAGGCCGCTATCCTGCCGGTAGCACGCCAGGTGCAACGGCGTGTTTCCGTCCACATCTTGCGCTGTCAAGGATGCCCCATGCCCCAGGAGAGTGTTCATGGCTTTAAGGTTGCGCGGGTCCGTTGCAGAGAAGAGGGGGGGCGCCGACGAACCGCCCTCGCTGGACTCGATGTTGGCCCCTGCCTGCATCAGTGCGTTAATCGCACCGGCCTGGTCTCTTCGAGCAGCAACGTGAATTGGAGCAAAACCATCATCGCCACAAGCGTTCACGTCCACCCCATATCTAAGAAGGGCTCCAATGACGTCAATGTGGCCAAATCTACCGGCGCTGTCGAGCGCAGAGTAGCCGCCATTATCGCGGATGGTGACATCGGCGCCGGCAGTCAAAAGAGCGTGCACGACGGACAGATGCACCGGTGGCCAGAGGCAGGTTGTGCATAGGTTGGGGCACCAACTACAACTTGGGGGGGGAGGTTGTAGGGAGGTTACAGCCCAAAGTGTACAAGTTATCCCGCATCTTGGATAGTGGCGATATTGCAATCAACACGGTGGGCTGCAAGCCCAAAGAAAAAATAGGTCCAAGGTCGAGCTCGGCCTCCCAACTTCCCCCCCCAGGTTGTGGTTCATGCCCAACCTGCCCCTCTGGCCACCGGTGTGGCCAAACCGGCATGCTTCCATGGGTGGCGTCACGCCGTTATCATCGAGAGCATCCGTGTACACTTATCATGGAGCAAGAGGGTAGACACGACCCTATCAAGTCCGATAGCAACAACATGGAGGGGAGTGCATCCATATTCATCCCGCGAGTCCAGATTCGGTCCGACCAACACAAGGTCGTTCACCAGCTGTGTGTGCCCACCCAAGATTGCCTCGTGCATCACCGGTTGCTTCGGTGGTAGCTCTTGCTGTCTTTGCGTAAGAGCGCAGCATCACGAGCCAGCAACGGCGACGCCACGCTCGGTTGGCCGGGGCCCGAGCCATCAACAGCCGCACCTGCTCGATCTCGGCTTCGGAACATGTTGTTCTATCATTCTCATTGTCGTCCTCATCGAGCAAATCTGCGGGAGTCTTGCTATCGTTATCCAGGGCTGTTTCGTCCGCCCCCCATCGCAGCAAGAGATCCACGGTCGCCTCCACTCCTCTAACCTGCCAGTAGCACGCCCAGTGCAACGGCGTACCTCCATCCGTGTCTTGCGCTGTCAAGGATGCGCCGCGCCGAGGGAGAGCACGCATGGCGCTGATGTTGCCACGATCCGTTGCTGAAAACAAGGGCGTCAACCGGTCACCCAGGCCGGCCTCGGTGTTGGCCCCTGCCTGGATCAACGCATCAATCGCAGCGGCCCGATCGTTTTGAGCAGCAAGGTGAAGTGGGGTCCAGCCGTCATTGCCACAGGGGTTCACGTCCGCCCCATGTCTGAGAAGTGTTCCAATGACGTCAATGTGGCCATTAAAAACGGCTTTGTCGGGCGCCGAGTAGCCGCCAATACTGCGGATGGTGACATTGGCGCCAGCAGTCAAAAGGGTGTTCACGACGGATAGGTGGCCAGACTCGCATGCGTAAATTAGTGGCGTCGAGCCTCTTTTTTCGAGAGCATCCGTGAATGCCCTTCTGAGCAAGAGGGTAGACACGACCCTATCAAGACCCCTGATGGCAGCAACATGGAGGGGAGTGCATCCATATTCATCTCGCGAGTCCAGATCCGGTCCGACCAACACAATGTCAACAGCTGTGTGTGCCCACCCAAGATTGCCTCGTAGAGGACATGGCTGCAGTGCACAGGGTCATCGAAGTTCACGTCGGCTCCCGCAGTAATCAAGCGCCTGGCTGCGTCTTCGTGGCCGCACACCGTCGCCGTGTACAGAGCCGACCTCTTGCTCGACACAGACAAGACGTTCACATCCCACTGAGCTCCTGCTCGCAGCAAGGCCGACACAACAGGTTCGTTCCACCGAGAGCGGCTGCATCGATAGAGTACGGCCGCGGCAACCTTTCCATCCCGCAATTCCATCCGCACCAGCCTCGAGCAGCGAGTTGACACGGTTCAGGTTGCCTCGGGCGGCAGCATGCTTCAGCGGCACCCGAAGCCATTCCTTCCATTGCTGTGGTGTGGCGCTGTACGAGACCAGCTTCCATATCTCGCTCTCCATCCCTTGAAGCAACCCGCGTTCGGGGTAGACGCGCATGTTCCTCTGCACAGGTAGCAAAAATCGATGTCGACAGAGTGCCTTTCCTTTGGTATCTGCTCGTCCTCTCTCTCTCTCTCTCTCTCTCTCTCTCTCTCTCTCT